ATCATGGATCCTTTTAAAGTCTGAAGCTTTTCCTGAGAGCACTCCTGCTTCAAGGACACTTTTGGCCTCTAATGACAAACTTTAGACTGATTTATTACTGCTACTTTTTAGTTTAAATTAAAAACTGATAAAAAAAAAAAAACCTCTAAAACCTTACTGTAAAAAAAAACACTGTCGTGTTGTGTTTGACCTCCTGCAGCAACACACTGTGTGATTGTGGAGCTGCATGTCCTCCACAACTCAGAAACATGAAACTCTGAATGTGGAGTGTCCACAGGAGCTGAAAGATGTGGACCGATGGGGTTTGTCCTGTCTCAGGTCTGTGCTGGACGCTGAATATGTCAACAACCTGTGTGTCAAACCACACAGTGATGAGTCAGCAGGTCTCACATTTCACAGCTTCCTGTCCTCCACTGGACACGTGTCTGAGCTGGATGTGTTGCTGCAGTCCTGGATCATCTTGTTGGGACTGGACCTGTGGAGGTTTGAATGTAACGTGTCTCTGGAGGGCCTTGGACTCGTTGTGTCGGTCAGTAGGTGAACGGGCATTATGTTCCTCTCTACGGTCAGCTTACTGTAAATACTGCACATGTCAGCTTTTCCAGTTTAAAGCTGGAACGGTTTAAACTAAATCTTGGTACTGTAWGGGCTGTTAGGGCCTCTCAGGAAGAAGACAATCTGAGGAAAAAGATTTCTTTAAGTTTGGGGATTTAGTTTGAAATGGAAGAAATAAAGTCCAAACGTCACAAAGTCCTACGACACCTGCTGTGTTTCTGTTCCTRACTTGAACTCGACTCTGTAGTGAGACACACGGGACAAACCCTCCATGTTTTCATGCATCAGTTGTATTTGCACCAGAGACGCTGTAGCTGGAGGAATAAAAGACTGTGTTTGTAAAAGATGTGAAAGTTGGACATGATACACAAACTGAGTGTGACGTTCTGTGGAACGGTCTGTAAGAATCATAAAACTGAAGCTTTGATTGAGTCAAAACACTGAATGTGCAGCTTTGTGTGGCCTGTTGACGCTGTAAGCAGTGAAATGTGTGAACCAGCAGGTACAGCTCATTAAAGGCACAGTGTGTAGGATTTTGTTAATTCTTTTAGCCAAAATTAAGATAATCACTAATGACAATAGTAAAAAACATGTCTAATCATTGCAGACAAAGACCTTGTTTTATTATTTTTACTTTATAAAAAGCTGTTTATATCTCCATGGTCGCGGGTCGCCACTACAGGCAGCCGCCATCTTGTCTACGAAGGCTCATGAAGGACAAACTGCGGTGGCGGCGTCAAAAACGTTTTTTTTTCCTCTAACTCTGCCTCTTCCTCTGTCA